ATCTGTGTCATCTTCATTTATCCATTTATCCCTCTTTCGAGGGATAAATGAGACACGCCAGCCATTTGTTTCTGTGATATTTCAGTAAGTTTGCATGGTGCGCCCACTACGCTTAAAAATGGCCGGTGGGCAAGCTTACACTTCATACAGTTGCGTGGGTGGGGAGACAACTAGAGCAGCGAAAATGTACACTACGATTCAATTTAGCGTTTCACAGTATTACAGTCTTTATGAAATGAATATTATGTTATCACAAATTGTTAAATTTATGACTTTTTTGTTAACTAAGAAATGGGAACTTAATTTTTAAACGATTGTGGGCGATGACTGTTTGGCTCCACTATGAGGCAGCAGAAAGGCAGCACGTCTGTTTGCCCATCATCCTGCGTGCAGTGATGATGTTTATATTCATAAAGGGTTAATTAGGTTAATGTTAACATAACGTGTTACATGAATTGAATATTTTAACATTATTTAACAAATTAAACATTAACTTAATCGACTGTGATGTTATTTCATAGCCAACTTTTCATAAAATCTAACTTGTGTTATTTAACAGTTGGATATGAACAATGATAGGATATTCACACATATTTAATAAGACTTCATACATCAAATGATATAAATTGTTTTTATTTACACAGTTGTAATGATATATAATTTGAAGTTAAAGAGTACAAATATTAACACATGATTATTTCCAAAGGAAAGTTAACATAACTTTAAACCAAAGATGTCAGGAAAGAAAATGCAGTATGCGAAAGCGCTCTTAGTGCAGGCAGTAGAGGAAGTGAGAGCAGGGCTTGAGGGCCACAGCAAAAAAATACGGCATTCCCCACACCACTCTACAAACTACAAACAACCCTCATCCCAATTCAGCCCCCCCTCATATATATATATATATATTTTTTTAAATATATGAGGCCCTCTATGTGACGCATGACACATTTGGATGAAAAGCCACAGCTCATCTACAACTGCGACGAGACTGGATTTGGGGACAAGTCTCGGTCCAGGAAAAAGGTCCTGTGCCAGACCGGGAGGAAACATGTATACCAGCAGCAGAACACGACCAGGGAGCACATCACGGTCCACTGCTGTGTGAATTGACCCCGGCTGCCTTCCGAGTAACGCATATAGGCTGGATGGGCCCCCCAACGCTCTCTATGGGATCCAGGATAAGGGATACATGGATTCGGAGCTATTCCTGAAATGGCTACACCATAGGGTTGCCGCGGTGAGGAAAATTTCCCACCGGTTAATCGACGTGTGACAACAACGTAAAAAGTGAAAATCGGCAAACTGTGGGATATAAATAAGAACCATAAAACGTTTATTAACGAATAAGAAAATAAAATAGGCCTAAATAAATTACACAAAGTTTAAATAAGATAAAACCAAATAAAAAGAGACGAATATAAAATAAAACTTCAAAAAGGACCTTAGCCTACATAAATGACATACCTTCACTTTCGAAATAAGCGTCAATTGCAATTCAGCGTCAATTGCTGGAATGGACAAAAAAAACAACAACTCGCGATCGCTGACAATAAACTTTTATTTATAGACAGAACTTTTATTAGCATAACAAACGAATAAAATATAGACAGAACTTTTATTAGCATAACGAACAAATAAAAATAACCCCATGCATAGGCTGAAAAAAAGTGAAAATCGGCAAACTGTGGGCCCAAACAAAGAAGAACCATAAAACGTTTATTAACGAATAAGAAAACAAAATAGGCCTAAATAAATTACACAAATAAGATAAAACCAAATAAAAAGAGACGAATATAAAATAAAAACTTCAAAAAGGACCTTAGCCTACATAAATGACAGCACTCTAAAAAAAAAAAGTAAAACACTATAAATTGGCATTTATTAACATCGCTTGCAGTCTAGAGTCAAAGAACATGACAGTTGAGACAAAGACCGACTTCATGACAAAGACAGTCTTGCAGTCAAGAACATTTAGACTGAGTCTACATGTTCTTTGCCAGAAAACCGAGCATGTTGACCATCTCTGGCTTATGAGATCTTTTGGGGGTGACTATGTTCCCCATCGTGCTGAACACCCTCTCGGATGCACAGCTTGTTGCACACACGCAAATATGGCTCTTGGCACGCACTGCGCAGTTCATTTTTAATTATAATGTATGCTCTCTTCTGAACTAAATAATTGAAAATCATTATTTTTAATTAATTCAAATAAATATTTTAGCAAAAACGAATACTTTAAGAAAAAGTCATGACATTGCGGTGTCACAGTGGGAAAGTGATGTCAACGGTGATGGGGCTTAAAACCGGTAACACCGTCAACAGCGTCTATCGCGGCAAGCCTACTAAACCATTTTATCCATTATGCACCTAAGGAGAGACCACTAGTGTTAATCATGGACCAACACGAGACGCATCTATCAATAAATGTCATTGTGTACTGTAGAGAAAATAAGGTTGAAATTCTCTGCCTACCTGCCCACACCACACACGTCCTTCAGCCCCTTGATATTGCGGTCTTCAACCCGCTGAAGACGGCCTTCTCCATCATGGCTTCCAGGCTGGGTCTGGTTCGAGGGGATCTTGTGGTAGGGAAGAAGCAGTTCTCTTCTCTCCTCAAAACGGATAACCCCACTGCTGTGACAGCCCAAACCATCAAGGCTGGGTTCCGCAAGGCTGGGATCTTTCCTTCGTCCAGGGCTGCAGTAGACACAACCCAGATAATTTTAACATTAATACAATGATAAATCATCTTCTAAGCTACATGCTTTTCTTTTTAAGTTTGCTAATGAGTCTTACAAATGTTTTACTTTCTTAGGTGGTGAGACTGCTTCCATCTGCAATCCAGCACTCACGCCACTTCTACAGCCACACCATCCAGCACTCATGACACACCACCCAGCACTCACGCCACTCATGCCGCTTTCTATTAGTGTTTGTGTGTGCGTCGCAGTCTCTTCTTGCTCTCTCTATTGCAAAAATAAACCACAGCACTGAATAATAGTCGAAGTGAACTTTATTATACTAATGATACTACTGTGTGTGTGTGTTTTCAGCTCCACCAGATTCTGTAAAACAAAAAAGTAATAAAAATCAAAAGATGAGATGGCAGCATGTTACACATTATCAATGCCAGTGTGGAGAACATTCACAACAAACAACACTCAAATTCAGCTTCATTATATAAGCTGGTGCATTTTCAGCTTCGTAGCAGCATGTTTTTTTGGATGGACATCCTTTTTAGGGCGGGGGTTAGGTTGTCCAAGGAGGCCTGGTCTGTGTCTTTCTCCTTGATTGGCAGATTCTATTGCACTCACAATCATCTGCTCAAACACTGAGGGGCTTGCAGAGACAACCTGCCGCCTATGCCTGCACTCCCCTAACAGGTCTGGTGTGCCCTTTATTTCATGTGGGCACATGCTCACACACAGGTGATATGTATCTGTGACTCACTCTCTTTCCTGTTTCTCTCCCTCTCTCTTTTGTGAGACCTCTCCCTCCTGGGTCTCTCCCTCTGTCTCAGTGAGGTTGGAGGTTGTCATCTGTGGTGTGATAAATGGCAGGAGAAAGGACATAATCTGGGCATAACACCAGGGCCTCTTCTGAGAGTTAGCAGCCCCACTTACCCGCCTGGACTGGTCCTCCCTCCAATGTCGAACATAGGCATCATGGAGGTCCCTCCACTTTTTTTTTACATCCTCCACTGAGAAGCACAGACAATGTTCAGCATATTTTAATTCATGAATTAATTAATACAACGCCACTGGCCCCACGCAGTTCTCTCATTTCTCTCCTTTTTATACAATGATATATAGATATTCTTAATAATTATTAAAAATGTTTAATATATATTTATTTATAACATATTTATATTTATTTATAACATTTTAGAAAGACCTTTTTTATTTTATTTTAAAGCTGCAGTCCACCATTTTTCCTCTTTGTCGCCATCTCTTGAACCTCGGCGCGACGTGGATGAATCCAATGTTATGAGGAGAGTCCGGCAGGAGATGTTTTGATGGATATTGGCATTCAGAATCACAGATTGTTATTTTTGGAAGTATGACCAACATAATAATTTTAACAAATGTCATGGAAAATGTCATATGGACAAGTAAGCATCCACTTTTGTTCTGGTTCTGACTTTGCAGTAAATCGCGCTGATTAAATCTAACAAGCGCTTATAAGTGATCAAATCAAATCAAAGTTTATTTATAGAGCACCTTTTTACAACAACAGGTGTTTACCAAAGTGCTTTACATACAGATAACAAACAACAAAAGCAAAGAAAAAGATAACAAGTAACTCTCATACTGTGTAGTCTGTGTTATATGCAGTACTATACAAATAAGTTTAGATGTGATTTAAAAACTGCAAGTGACGGTGCCTGCCTAATATACAAAGGTAAATTATTCCAAAGTTTCGGGGCCGCCACTGCCACGATCACCTCTGCTCTTTAATCTTGCTTTGGGCGAAACCAAAAGCAGCTACCCAGCAGATCTAAGTGCTCTGGATGGAACATATGGCTGCAATAGATCTGAGAGGTATTTTGGAGCAGTATTATTTAATGATTTAAAAACAAAGAGTAAAATCTTAAAATCAATTCTAAAGCGAATTGGCAACCAGTGGAGGTAAGCTAGTGTACAGTAGGTGTAATATGATCCTGTTTGCGTGTCCTTGTTAATAGACGTGCAGCCACATTTTGTACCCTCTGCAAACGTGTTATGGTGCATTCACACCAGACACGAATAGCGCGTCAGGCGCGAATGATTTCAATGTTAAGTCATTAGGTGTGTTCGACATCGCCTGCGGCTGGATGCAACCGATCGGCGAGAATAGCCGCGTGCAGGCGGGGAGGAGCTGCAAACGGAGATATAAAGCCGGGCACGTTGTGGCTCCCGTAGTTTGCTGCAATTACGTCAGTCATGGCAGATCACGTGGTGTTTGCTTTCTTTATCGCAGATGAACTGGAAGCGATAGAAATTCCATTATTACTGCATGAAATTGAGCACAATGAGCAACGAAAGTGAGTAAAGGTTAAATGTGTAAGGAGTATCTTTTTAAACAATTTATAGACACATGATCAATTTACTTGTCAAGTTACTATACCAATAGCTGACAAATGTTGAATAAATACTGTATCGATACAGTCTTTACAATTCTGCACTGTAGTCTTTGCAATGTATTACTAATGTAATGGGTGGGTTTTGTAATCAATAGCTACTGTTGCTTGCCTTTTATTAATAATAATAATTATTATTATTTTGGTATGAATAGAAACTTACTCATTCTGACAAAAAATAATGGAGTGTTTCTCAAATTTCAACACTTATCTATACACCAATTATTTCATTAAAATCCCCATTCAACATAAAACACTGATAATAGAAGTTTGACTACACGTGTGTTCAATTAGGCTACATGCATATACTGAATGCAATTCCTCTTCTTATATAGAATGGTTCCAAAAATAGACAATTTTGTGGAGGATGTTGTCCCTCTCTACAGTCCCTCAGAATTTAGAGGTCATTTCAGGCTCACCAAAGAACAAGTGGAGGTTTGTATTGGTTAATATAAAATTAACAATTACCAGTGTGTTAGCATGTTGTCTTGATAACCTATTTTTCTACCTTTGCAGGATGTCATTACTACCCTTGGTCCTGTTTATATGAATTCACAACAGACCAAACTTCCACTCACAAACAGTGTTCTTGCCTGCCTTTGGACATTGGCAAATCAGGAGTCATATCGTGGGGTGGCAGATAGATTCAACATGTCAAAATCCACTCTTGCCAAGCATCTCCATGAGTTTTGTTTTAATGTGAACAAATACTTGGCCCACCACATTTTCTGGCCCAGAGGTCAAAGGCTGGAGATGTCAAAGTTAGGGTTTGACGCAGCAGGTTTCCCCAACACAGTATTTGCAGTGGATGGGTGTCACATTCCTATAATGAGACCCCACTGTGATAATCCCCTAGCATACATGAATAGGAAACAGTTTTATTCTGTAAATTTAACTGGGTTTTGTGACAGTCAGCGACGTTTCTGTCACATCAGTGTGGGTCACCCTGGTAGTTGGCATGATGCCAGAGCATTTCGTTTAACAGAAGTTTGTCGTCTTCTTGAAGAAGATCCTCATTCCCTTGTTCCACAGGGAATGCACATAATTGGGGATTCTGCCTACCCTTTGTTGCCTCAACTTATTAGGCCTTATAGAGACAATGGCCACTTGTCTGCTAGGCAAAGAAACTTTAACAGAAAGCTCAATGCAGCGCGTGTGGTCATTGAGCATGCATTTGGCATTCTAAAATCTAAGTTTAGGAGGCTCCATTGCCTGCAAATGAGAAGCATTTCTAATATCAGTTCAGCAATCTCAGCATGCTGCATTTTGTATAAACCCGTCCGCGCTCTCAGGTCAGATGATCAACTGCTCCTGACTGTGCCTAAAACTAAGCGTAAGCTCAGAGGGGACCGTGCCTTTGCCGTGTCTGCCCCGAAACTATGGAATGATCTGCCTTTGCATGTGAAACAGGCCTCTTCTTTACCTGTTTTTAAAAAACTTCTTAAAACCCATCTTTTCTCTTTGGCTTTTGACACCTAGCAAGATGTCGACTCCATGAATTTTTTGTTACTAATGATGAATGTAGGGTTTTTAATTGTATGTTTATGTTTTCTGTACAGCACTTTGGTCAACTTAGGTTGTGGTAAAGTGCTAAACAAATAAAGTTGGTATGGTAATCTTTGTTTAGAGCCCAGTGATCAAGTTGCTGTGGTAGATGGATGGTGTTGATGATGAACCACACCACCAGCAACCCCACAACACTAATGCATGTCATCGTAGAGACCAGATTTGTGGCCAGATCTGATGTATGTATACTGAATATACAAAAAAAAAATTTGAATGTACAGAATTCAACAAATGTTAATAGAAACAGATTTTGTGTTGAAATAAAGACATTTATTTTATTGAACATGATTAGTTTCTCATTTGAAATTGTGTTCTTTGGGGGGGAAAGAAACATTTTGGGGAAAGCTGCAAATCAAGAGAAAAAAAAAATCTTTAAATTATTGACGTTCATGTGAGTTCTGTAATAAATGCATGCTTTGCTCTTGTCTTTCCCCCATTTTCTTTAGCTCCTCAACAATTGTTCCCAAGCTGGTCAACATCTTTTTTTCAAAGGACCTTCTGCGCCTCTCCTTAAGTCGCCGCCATCTCTCCAGATCTGGCCTTACCAGGGACTCAAGCACAGCAGTCCTTCTCTCGGCATGCTCTTCATAAGCCTCCAGAAATTGTAAGGGTTGTTGTGATCGTCTTTGCCTGTTTGTATTTGGTATGGTAGAGGTTCCTGGCTGTTCATCTACACTAGCACCTGCTGGCTGGTCTTGGGAAGATGATGTGGGCCTACTTTTGGAGGAGGTCTCTTCCACACCCAGAGGTGTGGAGTGAATGGTGCCTGGTAATGCGGTACCGATTCCCGATGACCCAAACAACTCATCCATTAGCTGGTGGGGGTGAATTTCAAATGTAAAAAAAAAAAAAAAAAAATCAATGTTTCATGCAAGACTAGAAAATGTTATTTCAGAAACAAAGTAAATCAGTCTTCAACTTACTGTATAGTACTCCCAGGTGATCTTCCCCTCCCCAGTTGCACGGCGCCTGTCTTTTACCCTTTTATAAGTGGTTAACATGTTTGCTAGTTTTTTCCTAATTTTCTCACTGGATAAGTTGTAGCCCTTTTGTGAGAAGGAGTTTTGCAATTTTTTATAGAAAGCCATTTTGTTCCTAAAATAAAGTTGCTGATGGGTTTTTGTAAGGTCCAGTAGAAATAGTGTCATTTGATGTGTTATTTCTGTAAAATGGAGGGGATAAGGAGATCAATAAATTAACACTACAAAACAAAGAAAAATGTAAATTAATCACAGCATTTACATGAATCTTCCTTATATTATTTGATGCAATACCTTGAGATTCATGCCTGTCTGACTGGAAGGAGGGGGATGAAGGTTGAATGGATTCCGAAGGGTTTCCACACATTGCACCAGGTTGCAGAGTGGCAGGCGGTGGGTACTTGACAGTGGAGGTAAGTAGTACAGGGGGCCTAGTGGGGCACTGGCTGGTTGATGGTGGTACAGGGGGCCTAGTGGGGCACTGGCTGGTTGATGGTGGTACAGGGGGCCTAGTGGGGCACTGGCTGGTTGATGGTTTCACAAAACTGAGGTTTAGGGGTACCGGTGACCTAGTGAGACATGGAAGACATGGAGCTGGGCCACTGAGGAGAGCTGTTTGGAGAGAAGATGTGGTCAGTGTCACTCAAGAAATAATTCCAGTATATTCTTGTTCATTTAGTAAATGTGTACCTTTTGTTTCAAAAGCTGATACTTGCTCCATGACTGAAGATAGGAACAATTGATCTGGGGGAATAAATGATAATTAAAACACTTGCACAAATCATTGGTGACTTGTAATTATTTCACAGTTATGCAGTTTACTTACCATTTTGCATCCTTTCAGCAATGTCCTTGGAAACTGTTAGCATGACAGCATTACCTTTGCTGTCTAACACATTAATGGTTACATTGTCCATTTTGTAGTGTGTTACACAGGGTAATCCAGGTTATTTATATATCCCAAGGAACCATGGGACCATAGCCAACACCTGTTGCATTCATTATTACTAATAGTTAGCAACAAATGCAATGACCCTTTTAAGTCAACCAGTTTTGGCTCAACATTAATTAGTAGTGATTTCCATTGTTTTTGTGATTTAGTGATTTTGAGTAACTTTATGTATTTACCAAGGTATTAAAACACTTTTGAGATGTGTGTTTAAGTGGTGTTTTGGACAAGATAACATATTGGATATATATAAATTAGCAGTTTGACATGGGTGTTTCTGCTAATGCAAAATGATAAAAGTTACCTTTAAAAAATATATATATATTCCCTTTTTTAAAGAAGGTTTAGCAACATGATTTACAGTACCCTCCAGCTGAGCTCTTTTTAACATTTGAGACAAAACATCATTCGTTTTCGTATACAAAAAAAAAAAAAAAAAAAAAAAACACATTTCATAAGTTGAATATACAGCAAGTTGTTAGCAGTGTGTTAACCACATGCAGGTGAAGTATAAACACAGCAAAATAAACTAGAGAATATGAAGAAACCTTATGAACAAATGGAGGAACATGATGTATTATGCATCATTTTTATATAAGCATACATTTAGAACCACATAAGATTGTATGTTTTACATACAAAAAATTATTAACTTAAAAAGATTAAAATTTGAGTTATTAAAAAAAGCTCATTTGAATAGATTATGCAGCTGAAAAATAATGCCAAATAAACATACAAAAACCCTATTGGCTTTTAACAATAAAGTGAGTACAGTAAAACAATATTTCATAACTATGATTTATAAGATGAACTGTTTTAAAAGTCCATATGAGAATTTCTTGAGCTGAATTCGTGGCAATAAACTTGAAACACACGTCACCAGTGTTGTCAGTGAATCCGGCCAATCGTGGATCAGTTGTGTCGTCATCAGAACCTGTGCAGCCGCTCTTGAGAATCTGCGCTGGCTGAATCCTGCGGCTGCTCTTGGATCGCTCTCGCGGTACTTCGATAGCATACGTCACAGTCACGTGGAGTCAGCGCTGCATCAAGTCGGACAAAATTTCTAACCGGCATGCACTGTTTCAAGTCAGCCACCGATCGGTTTGCGCAGAGCTGCATGAAGTCGAACAAGCCTATTGCAAAGACACATTATGCGTGTAAAAAATTCCTGCGGCGCGAATGAGGCGTAGAGCGTGAATTGAGCATTAAGCGCGAATGATTTAGTTAAGTGCCATTTGTGCATTCGCGCGTCTGCCGCCCGAGTTGAAAAATCTGAACTTTGGCGTCAATTCGCGCCACGTTAACCAATCAGGAGCCTGCTGCTTGCTCACATGGTGAAGTGTCTGGATGCTTCAATAAATTATTTTGTAATATGACTAAATGCATGGTGGGATTCTTATGCACAACAAAGCAAACATTTTATCACTTAAAACATTATTTCTATATACGAGACATGTTCATTTTGTATTGAATGTTATTCATTCCATATGTAGTGGGAGGCCGCTCTTGGGAAGCGAGCTCTACATATGCACGACTACGCCACCCTGATGAACAGGGAACTATTGATACTAATGAATTTAGTATTTCCACAAAAGGACACGGGAACGTTCTTATCGAGGAAGGGCCAGAGACATGGATACAAAAATACCAAAAATATTTTATTATAGTCAACAACAATCATAAGACAACATGAAAAGACCAGGGCCCGTATCCCTAAAGATTCTGAGAATCCTCTACTAAATATTCTAATAACTAAAACTAAAAATTAAAAAAAAAAAAAAACTAAAACTAAAAATTGCCAGGATATTTACAGTGATGTGAATAAGTTTGGACACCCATGCTAAAGTTGCCTAAAAAGAGGAATAAAAAATCTAAATAGGAATAAATAAATTCCCATAGTCAGGCAGATTTTTATTTTTAAAAGCCAGTTATTTCATAGATCCAGGATAATAAGCATCCTGATAAAGTTTCCTTGGCCTTTGGAATTAAAATATCCCCACATCATCACACACCATTCACCATGCCTTGAGATTGGCATGGTTTTAATCTCAAGGCATGGTGAACCCACTTCTTCCAAGCGGGCCAGGGCCGGCTAATCGAGCCGCGCCCGGGCACGGTTCGGAGCACTCACACTAGTCAAACGAGCCGCGCTTTGGTGGTCAAACGCACTCGGGCATGGTTCAAACTGGCTAGTGTGAGTACACCCTGAGACTACTATTTACAATCATATCATGCAAAACCGTGCAAATTATAGGCTACTTTGTTCTCAAATTGTTAATGTTCAACATCAGCATTGCATGACTACATTTAATGCCCTTCCGATATGTATCCTTGTTTTCGTATGGGTCAGGTTGCAGTCTCTTTTTTTCGAACAAAGTCTTTTGCATTTTACAGCGGGTGAATCTTCAGTTTTTACTGGTGATTGTCGTTTGAACGTTCCTTCCTGGATCTGCCATCAAATTGATATGTTTAATTATATCAAGTGCTGTCAAGCGAAAACGCTATAAATCTCTACCTCTAACATCCTCACACGCAATATAGCTTTTACTAGCTGAGATTCTTCTTTATGTGTTCAAAAATGACGCAAAGGCATACTCGAATTTCCAGCAGAAATCCACCAGTACCACTTAAAGGTTCTCTGAGCGATCCTGGGTGTTGTTGACGTTCGGAATATTTTCAAACAAATCGGAGGCTAGCTAGACCCTCCCTCCTCCGCATCTCATATCCTCCCCCTCCCTTCCGTCCTTCCTGAAATAATTGTGAACGTGCATTTCTAGCTAATTATATCCTTGGGTGGGTTTGGCGAACATAAGCGTCAATTTAGAGGGAAAAAAAACAATTTAACGTTACCCACCTGTCCAGCAAAAACAGAGGAACCTGAATGCCGGACTGGAAGCCTTTCTGCCACCGGAGTTCTCGCCATCCTTCAAAAGCTTTGCTACCGATGTAAATTCGGAACTTCGCACGTTCTTTATCCGACTCCTTCTTCTTTTTAATTTGTTCCTCAAAACGACGTCTCTTTGGTCGTGTTTCGGCCATTTTTCAAACTTCCCTCTGATGCTTCGCTGCTCTCTTTCACACACACATACCCTTCATGTGCACGCGCACTAACCCCCCAGACCCACCCTCAAATACTTCTTGCCAGTGATTGGCTGGAACACTGTTTGTTAGGTTTCGTGGTCCGGGTGAGACATGATTGTTTTTGTTGCCGTTTGTGGAGCCTGTGGTGTCTACAGAGACCGTGTTTTTTTACAGTGTGTTTAGAGGACAGGCAGCTAGCCGATAGTGAGGAGACGTTTGATGTACGTGGCAAAAAATGTTTTGGCCCCCACATCGCTTAGAGAACCTTTAATTCCACTGGAATTAAAAACATTATTACAACCTTACCGTTTTGAATCGAGCTAAGGCAAGGAGATAGATTTAAACACTGGCTTCTTATGTATTTGCTCAAAAAAGCTACAGACTGCAGCCTTAACTTTAAAGGGCACCTATTATGCCCCTTTTTATAAGATGTAATATTGGTCTCGGGTGTCCCCAGAATGTATTTGTCAAGTTTCAGCACAAAATACCCCACAGTTAATGTATTATAACCATTTGAAAATGTCATTTTTGGGGCCTGTTTTAAAAAGAGCTGTTTTGGTGAGTCAAAGTTATTTTGGGTTGAATTTTCTAATTTTATTAAACGCAATATGCTTCCGGGTTTTTCCTTGCTCTTCAAGGATGTACTGTTTGGCTTCTTTAATATACAAAAAGCTAAATTTGATGAGTATTTTATTATTAACTTATTGTTATTCCTTGCAAAATTTCACATTCACCGTAGTAAATTTAAGCAGCAGAATCCCTTATTCATTGTTTTTAGAAGAGAGGTTCAGCAATACATCCAAAGCATTCCATCATCCAAGAATCTTAAAGCTCTTAAGACCACAAACTTGTTTGAACTTTTTAATTTATTTTATTAGTGCAACTTTTTAATTTATTCAAATGCGTGAATTTATCTGTTCTGTTTTTGTTTTTTGTTTTGTTTGTTTTTTTATGTATAGTATACAGGCTATGAGCATATGTGCTGTTGCTTTCATTATTTTCCCTGTGTGCAGTTTGTACATTGTTGTAATCTACTTGTATTTTTGATACCTTCCCAGACAGCAAACTGACATTGAATCAACGTGGAAACGACGTCTCTCATGACATTGAAACAACGTTGATTTTACTCATCGAATTAACGTTGAACCAACGTCAGACGCGGCATTCTTCAAAGCTAAATGAAAATCGAAAATTGGTTTGCTTTCATAACGTTGAAACAACGCGTTGATTTCACGTTGATTTTCCGTTAGTTTTTAAAGAATGACGTGTCTGACGTTGGTTCAACGTTAATTCGATGAGCAAAACAATGTCAGATCAACGTTGTTTCGATGTCACATTTCCACGTTGATTCAATGTCAGTTTGCTATCTGGGTTGGCATTAATAATTAAAAAAAAAAGCTGTTTTGGTGTGTACCACCTTGTAACAAGGTTCAGGGAAGAAGAGGCAGGAACCGGATGACAATAAAAAAATAAAACTTTATTTAAACGAAATAAACAAATTACCTACTACCCAAAATAAAACAAACACCGGCCAGCAGCCCCTC